GTTAGATTGGATGAACAGGGTGTATGCACCGAGGATGAGATGACAGTGACACAGCCACGATGATATCATTTTCCGATTTCGGTGTCCGTAGTCTTGGCTTGAATGTAGGAACGGAATGTGGAATGGATGGAGCAAGGATTCACGTGAGGAGTATACGTGTCAAATATGCCACAACAACTATCTGTTCATCATAGTAGGGTCTAGCTACATACCAAAATTAAAAGATGTATATGCAAGTCAATATGATATATTGGCATTTGAAAATGGTGGCGTACATTATATCTACGCGAACGCTTCGAGGCCATGAAAAACCATCGCAAAGGGTCGTGGTAGTAGTTTGATAAACTAGAGAGTTCCTCCTCGTTGTTTGACCGTGTCGCGGGAATGAAATTGATGAATAAGACACAAATAAAAAGACATATCGTAAAGGAGAGACTATATAGCATACAAGTCCGCTCCCTAGCGGGCGAAACCCCAGCCTACATAGAAAGGGATTCAGAATGGGTGTGCATTCAACTTTTTCCTCTTTGGCTTTCTCTCAGCAGTCCATAGAAGATAAACCAGGAAACAGGAGAAGCAAGATTGGGGGACAAGGGGCAACCAAAGTTCAGCACTCGATGGGAAAATCCGACTGACTCCCACAGGGAGAAAAAATGTTGTGATGAAGACATTCCCATTATCCAAGACAAGAAGAAAAGGAGCAAGTCCCAGGGAATCTTTAAACGCCAAAAACACCAATGCTGCGCTCTTTGTATGGATAGCTAGAGGCAATAATATCTCCCAAAGTTCCCGTTTCGTGACCGAGGATGTGCATCATGAGTGGCACGATCGGGAGTAATGATCGTAAAGGGCTCGTGTATTATGTAAGTGTATGGGTATGGCGGAAAGGAAGCTGAGCATGTCGCAGCACTCGTAGGTCGTATGCCTGGCCGTCACGTGTGGGTGCGAGTGTTGTGTGGACGATCATAGTATGCCGGAGTCTTTTAGTGCGTTTTGCAGTATTGTTTCCTTGACGGCGGCGAAGACGAGTCGGATATTGGACGTATCGGTGGCTTGTGTGAGACTAGCGAGGTTAGTATGCGTGGGTTGGCTTGAGGAGAGGGCTTTTTTTACTGAGGGTATAGGTTCAAGTGAGCTCGGTTGACTTGGTTGAACCTCCACAACAGATACTTGGCCGCACGATTGACATCATTGCCGCCAGAGTAATCTGGAAAGTAATTGCCGAGTGGTGATCGTGCGAGTTTTGCCTTGAACAGATCGACCTTGTTGAGGAACAGGATGATACTCGTTCTCATGAACCACCGGCTATTGACTACCGAGTCGAAGAGCACCAAGCTTTCCATCATCCGGTTCTAGGGGCGCGAGTCAGTAATGGGCAAAATACTCCACTTGGTTACATACTTGTGAGCTTTCTTCTAACAGCACTTGATCGTATTCGCTCAATGCCACGCAGAAGATGATTGATGTGACGTTTTCGAAACAGTGTATCCATTTCTTGCGCTCACTCCGTTGACCCCCTACGTCGAACATGCTGTTTCATGTTAGCCTGAACACCAGAATATGGTTTGAAGGGGCGCACGTACTGTATGCTGAGCTGGCCCATCGTGAATCTTGTCTCGTAGATACCGGTGGTCTTGGTACGCGCTCGTAGGACGTCGGATTCGATGGGCACGTAGTTGGGGTCGGATATTCGTTCTACCTCGTCGAAAAAGCTGAAAGGGTCAGTGTGGTTGATGGAGAGGGATGCGCAAACCTACTATGGGGCGGAATCCATCAGGTAGAACTCGCTCGAGTGCTCGAGGACCTTGCCAACACATGGATCGCTCCACATGGATGTGATGGCTTGGCCTACCCGTACATCGAGGGGCTTCTCGGGATCAGGATCGACTGTGTACTCGAGCAGGTAGTCGCAGAGCTCGGCATTGCCTGGCTTCTCGGGGGTAACGTCGAATTGTCGCATGGCGCCAATGAGGGCTTTTGCGCAGTCGATGACGTTTTTGTATATAGTCAGGCGGTACATGGCGAGCTCATCCTGCGTGTAGCCGTTCTGATGTATGATCTTCATCTGCTTGACTATGGTCGACTTTCCGCTTTCTCCGGAGCCTGCAGGGCGTGTTAGCAAATGTAGCGGCTGCCAGGCTGGAGCTACTCACCCAGCAGCAGGATCTTGCACTCCCGCCGTAACCGTCGCGAGTCCTCCTCGAGCTTGCGGTCAATGGCCTGGCTGCGCTTCTTCTGCTCGACATCGTCATTGTTGGTGCTCATGCAGATGCCCATAATGCCGGCGTGTGGTGCGGCTCGCGGCCGCGGGCGCTGGGGGGGAGTCGGGCGCGGGATAATGATGGAGCACTAGGCTCAGCGCGTCGCAGAAACGTCGTCGTCGAATACAGGCGGCGATGCGAAAGAGCGTGTGGTCCGGATGGCGGCGTGACGGTTGGCGCGTTGCTGGAGCTGTGGTGACGCTTCCGTCGGCTTAATCCGACACGCAGCTCCCGTCAAAGGGGGCCTCGCAACGTGGGCGGGCGCGGCAGCGAGGTCGCCAGCGTGGATGGCAGCAGCGATGGAAGCGGGGTCGGGCTGAAGCACAGGGACGGACGGGGGTTTGGTATGCGACGGTGGTGGTGTTGTTGTATGGACGGTAGGGTCGTCTTGGTGAGCTAGATCCGAGACTCCAGGGCTGCCTGTGGCTCGTGCGGAGGTGCCTTCCCCAGTAAGTTGATGAGGAAGGCGCGGGATCTGGAGAAGGCGCAATCACCACTTTCACGGCGTCGGCGTCGTCACAGGAAGCGTCGTTTGCAGCGGAGTGCCGGGCGAGTGCGTCGGGCAGATGCGCTGGCTCGTCTGCTCACAGTGCGAGGCGTGGATTACGAGAGGGTGATGAAGGCAATGATGGCAGGCGCGATGCTGCTAAGCCTCATTCAATCGTGGATGCTAGAGCAGCGATCAGGGTAAATGGCACGAGCCAAGCTGCGGAATAAGGCGCGCTGAAGCGAGCGCAGAAGGGCAAAGTGCTGGCGGATACTGGCAGTGGAGATGCGATGCAATGCAATGGGAGGTGGTGGTGCCCCAACGACGCTCGAGGCCATGTACGACGCCGTGGCTGCCATGGCTCGTGGCTGTCATATCCGAAAGGCATCTATCTCGGCTTACCACCCGCGGCTTTCCAACACGCAGTCCACCACGGCCCCTTGATACAACGGCCCCTGCACTACGCGCTGCAGCTGTGCCTCCAGACTTCTATATACAGGACCTGCAGTCTGCAGCTTCGCTCCTCTGCTCTGTGTTGGCTTCACAATGCGACCGCGAGGAACGGCTCAGCCCCCAAGTCTCAATCTGGAACGCCTCCACGATAGAGTTTACCTCGTCGCCCAGCCAGCGCCAACACCATGCAACTGCGTGGGACTGACATGCAACGGCGTTTCCGAGGTAGCCATGTCCTCGGGGCTGCCCTCTCCAATGTAAAGTGAGTCTAATTTAAGTCTGGCACGAATACAATTGCCTCTTGGTCCCCTGACTGAAGATGAATGCGAGCCTCTCGTCAGACTGCCCTGCCTCTCCATCAATATTGGCTAGCTGCAAGCGAGGCTAGCTGGAGGCTGACCAAATACATCTGTCGGGCCCAATTCCCCACCTTTGGCGACTACGGACATGTTTTGGTCGATGTCGTGCATTATCAGGACATCCGCTCGGGTGGGTTACAACAGAAAAGAGTTGACGGGGCCACATGTCAGCAATCGCGTGCATGTTTCAGACCGCTACCATGTTCCGTGATAGCCGCAGCATACCATTCACACGCTTTCGGAGCGAGCCGCAAACGAAGCATTACGCAACGTCATATCAGGGATGCCACGAGGGCTGGTAATCGGCCCTTGAAGTCAGGTACCGTTCACGCGTCGTTGATATTCTCGCCGCTAAGCTTGAAGACGACGACAAGTTTGGATCCATTGGTAGGAAAGCAGGGTGATGAGAAATCAGAACATCAGGGAGACGGGCCCAACAGATAAGATAACGCGGTACTAGAGGTCATATATATAGGCATGCGGATGTGTTCTAGGTATACCTTCTTCATACGTCAATATTGCAGGTGTATTCGTGCCGTCAGCAAAGTCAAGGTTGTCAACGCAAGGACAGGCTAGGACAGGTTATACAACCAAGGCAAGTCAAGCTGCCCAGGCATGTTGGTCGTTAAAAGAGCAAGTGTGGCTGCATGCCAGCTGCAAAGTCACCGTTCGGGGTGGGCGACTGATGTGCACGGACCAGACACGTGAATGGAGGGGAAGGCCGCGAGTGAATGCGGAAAGAGCTTCGAGGTCGCAGTGGGGTACAGTGACAGGACAGGATGCATTGCTGTGACGGCCTTTTGCACCGCCAGTAAAAGCGCAGGAAATGGCTGCGCTGGGTGTAATGCACGGGCTGTAATGGAAATTTCAAAATCCATCGTGACGTCACCAGAACAGGCCGAAACCTGTGTGAGCGACACTTCCGTGCCCGGGCCATGTGCATGCGTCCCTCCATCGCATTTGGTGCCTGCCCCTCGATTGTCTTCTTACCTTCACCTCTTCCTTTCCGCACTGATCTGCATTCTCGCCACGCCCTCGAGCCTCATCCTTGTGTAGCACATAGCTGAGGTCATCCCGTCGGTGCCTCGATTGTCTTCTCGCCGACCCGCTTACTGCCAAAGCTGAACATTCAAAGCGGCAGCCAAAGCATCCCAACGTGTCCAGCCGTCGACGTTCGCGACACCCCTGGTGCAAATTCTGAAGACGACAAGAAAGATCCCTCGGAGCTGTGTCGCGCAAGCCCTTGATTGCCGGACCTAGCCACCGAGCCCAATAAAACCTGCCCTGATCTAGCAGCGTCAACGTGCGACTAGAGAGCCCCGACGTATTCGCGAATACCCCACGACGTCCTACTCGCCCTCTTCCACCACCACAACCCCCAATTTTCGCCCAAGACCGTTTTTCGCGCCTGTCGCAGCATCATAACCACCAACAATCATCATGGCGGAATTCGTACGCGCCCAGATTTTCGGCACCACTTTCGAGATTACCAGCAGGTGCGGGCATACCCCACATTACGTCTTCTGGCATAACTGACATCGACAAGGTACACCGACCTGCAGCCCGTGGGCATGGGCGCTTTTGGTCTCGTCTGGTACGACTCCCGCAACCCTAGACACGAATTGAATGTTGACTCGGCCACAGTTCAGCCAAGGACCAGCTTACTAGCCAGGCCGTGGCTATCAAGAAGATCATGAAGCCCTTCAGCACCCCAGTCCTGTCAAAGCGGACATACCGAGAGTTGAAGCTCCTGAAGCATCTTCGACACGAGAATGTGGGCAATGCAACTGCCGTTCCCCAGCGAAAATTCTAACATAAACCAGATTATCAGCCTGAGCGACATCTTCATCTCTCCCCTCGAGGACATGTAGGCAGCCACATTACCACCGACCCAAGCAAACACTAATTCGCCCAGCTACTTCGTCACCGAGCTCCTCGGAACCGATCTGCACCGCCTGCTCACCTCCAGACCGCTGGAGAAGCAGTTCATTCAATACTTCCTCTACCAGATTTTGGTGTGTGGCAAAACCTCCAGATAACCAAGAAAATGTGCTGACTTCCAAAGCGTGGCCTGAAATACGTCCACTCCGCTGGTGTTGTGCACCGCGACTTGAAGCCCAGCAACATCCTCGTCAACGAGAACTGCGATCTCAAGATTTGCGACTTCGGTCTCGCCCGTATACAGGATCCCCAGATGACGGGTTACGTATCTACCCGATACTACCGAGCCCCTGAGATCATGCTCACATGGCAAAAGTACGATGTTGAGGTTGATATCTGGAGTGCAGGATGCATTTTCGCCGAGATGCTCGAGGGCAAGCCGCTCTTCCCTGGAAAGGACCACGTGAACCAGTTCTCCATCATTACCGAACTTCTCGGTACACCCCCCGATGATGTTATCCAGACCATCTGCAGTGAGAACGTAAGTAGGACGATGCAGACTCAGGAGCAACTCGCTAACTTTACCAGACACTGCGATTCGTCCAGTCACTTCCCAAGCGCGAGCGACAACCCTTGTCCAACAAGTTCAAGAACGCCGAGCCTCAGGCCGTCGATCTCCTAGAGAACATGCTGGTCTTCGACCCTAAGAAGCGTGTACGAGCGGAGCAGGCTCTCGCTCACCCATACCTCGCCCCATACCACGACCCCACTGATGAGCCGATTGCGGAGGAGAAGTTTGACTGGTCGTTCAACGATGCAGACCTGCCCGTTGACACGTGGAAAATTATGATGTACGTCTGGCCGAAGAATGTCACATACACGAACTAACACACCACAGGTACTCTGAGATTCTGGACTACCACAATGTTGATGCGGCGGCACAGGAGCAAGAGAACAACGGCAGCTAATTACAAATAATGTCTACCAATCTCGAGCTAGAACCATTTGCAGTCTCTAAGACAACGAATCATGCAGTTGCCGAGGCTTGACGTATCATCTGCCTGGCGCAGGCGGAGTTGGCTGTTCCCAATGATTCCCGGGGTCTCGTCTTGTGGACCTATGTGACATGAAGATGCGCGGTAGATGGGGCATGGATTTGTTATTGTCATTGGAATGACCATTGCGGGTACACGAAAGGAATGTTCATGACGGAAGTGAAGGCTTTGGTCCACCTAGGTAGGAATGTGAAATCATATTATCAAACATACGTTACTCGTCGCTTTGCACAAGATGACTGGGTGACTGTTTTGTGCGCTGAGATCAGTGGTGCAATCCGTTAGTGAGAAGCAAAAGATGACAAGACCCAACACAAAGACTGGGTATCCATGATGTGCGGTGCACAAAAATGAGACTAAGGAAGAGGCTCCTTCAGAGGTACCCTGGCACTGGTGTCCGTGAGATCTCGGGCGTGATCACTAACTTGGGAACGGGTGGAGATCGCCGAGGCTTCGGGCTAGCGCTGTAGGGCTGACTGAGGGACTGCCGTTTCGTCACCGCTCTGAGCGCGTCCGCAACGATTCAAGGACGCGAGCCTGGTCCCTATGGCCCTACAACCCTCCTCTCTATATCTTTTGAGTACTATGCGATAGCATCTCGATCGCACGATAATGGCGACTCTCAATCCACTTGTCTGCGTCGTCGACTTCCACCATGCGCGGTAAGCTTCTCCTTACAAGTAGAGTTGCAACCACAGATCGAGACGGCCAGGTAATGGCTAACAACCATATGCAGGGGCCCAGAAGTGGAAACATGGCTGGGTGCAGAAGAAGGAACCGACCCAGCAGCGGACAATGACTGGTCGTTGCTGCCATTCATGGCCTTGAGTGACGGTGCGCATGCCTCTGCAGAAGACTACTCCTACTTTACCCTCCGCCGCGCGCAAACCTCGACTGAACCCGCGACATCACTCTTCGGTATATCGTGTACGCGACAACTCGATGCGAGCAAGCTTATCGATCGGCCGGCTGAGGTTACCAGGAGCACGGTGCAGAAGGCTGTCGTTGTCATCAGCGATAGTCCACAACATTTTGGGGCTATCAAGGCGCAATTAAGTGTTGTCACACAGCTATGGTTTAACCAGAGGTAGGTTGGGTCTCCATGATAGATTTGGCATACAACGTGGAGCTGACGCGTCCGTAGAGACTTTACGGATATTGAGATATTGGAACGCTTCACGGAAAGTCTTCCACAGCTGCTAAAGAACCAGGAGGGACAACAAGATCATTATTTCGGTATCTCTCTTCGCGAATTCATACACGAGTTCAAATGGCAGACTTTGGTTCTTTTCAAATGCGCCTTGCTTCAACCAAAGGTACGTCTTAGTCTATCCGAGCTAGCACGTTCAGTCGCCCTTTACAGAATGTCTTACAACCATAGGTTCTCTTCTTCGGCTCCCATTGCGAACGATTGTGCATGATGCAGTTTGCTCTTATTTCACTGATACCCGGCCTGATACGCCACCTACAAGATGCTGCAGATCCCAAGTTCAATTCTTGTGAGGAGAAGTGTGTCATGCCCACTTCACTCAAGACGTCTGAGCGTGCTTCCTGTTAGTTCTTGCCCTCGTTACTACGCTCAGATATACTAACTAGACTTAGTACTAGCATACATGGGCCTCCCGTTGCAGCTATTCGGTACAGGCTCTCTATTCGGACCATACACCCCACTTCAGCAACTCGACATACTCGCAGATCAAGACACGAAATCCTACATTGTCGGCTCTACAAACTCGCTGTTACTTCAGCAAAGAGATCGATACAGCGATATCCTTATCAACCTCGACGATCATACCGTAAACATTACCTCAGCCGCGCTGCGAAATGCATCGATTCTGTCGACACCAGACCGGAGATGGATCGACTTCTTGACACAGACGATCAACGATACATGGGATGAGAATGATCCAGCACGACCGAAGGACCATGGATACGCCGGCAGCGAAGAGTTCATCCGTATGCAATTCGAAGAGTACCTTCTCGCTATGCTCAGCTCGGTGAAGTACAAAATATACATGGAGAAGAACGCACACAAAGAGAAGTTGATCACAGAAGTTGAAGGTGACCCGGCGAGCGAGTTCTCAAATGAATGGGTACATGCCTGGATGCAGACTGAGAACTTCCGCATCTGGAATAAATTTACAGATTCACACCTCTTCGATATCGTCGATCCGAAACACCCTTGCTCTGGTGGCCTATCGATGGAAGACGTCCAACGCCGATTGGCACAGTACGTTCCCTCCTTCTTTTAGCAGCCCCGTCAGCCCGACTAAACCTCACCCTTAGTCTGTTTTCCAACCCAACCTTCCAAGTCGTGTCTCTCGGCGTATGTGTGCTGATGTTCGCGTGGCGATTAGGCAGGTAGCAGAAATGCATCTTGACGAGCGACTGGAGAAATCAAGAGAAGTCTTGGGTAAACAGATTGCAGTAGGCCAACAAAAGGTCAGCTCTGCGTACAACCGCTTGTGGGCAGAAATGGAAGCTATGCGTGAGGCGCAGAGGAAGAGAGCCGAAGAAGCACGACTACAGGCAGAGAAGGAAGGAAGGCCTGTCGACGACGGGAAGAAGTGTAAGCCAAACATGCTGCTTTTGTGAAGAGGCCAATGCTAAGATATGACCAGGGAAAGCACCTCAAGCCCCCGATCTCTCGAACGCGAAGGCAAGCGCGGGTGCGTACTTTTCCAGCTGGGGCACCTGGGCAAGCGAGAAGAGGAAAGGATGGGGGACAAAGACACCGGTGTCCTCGCCTCCACCGAGTGATCTCAAGAGAGCGGAAGACTTCAAACGAGAGAAGGATGCGACAATTGGTGATACTCCGGCAAGCCCACCACCTGCAGACGTCAAGAGACGAAGTTTGTTTTTCGACGCAGACGCAGAGAAGACCAAGGACAATGTTGAAAAGGATTGATACATGGACATGTAGACTACTGGCATGATTGCAGTTCAGCAGAGAGTGTAAACTGCTACAACGATCTATAGCATTTGTTCGGAAGAAGTAAATATGTGGTATTCAAATAGTCCTCACGTAGTGGTGGATGTGATGTGCATCTTCTTGCTAACAGTCACCGTTTCAATCTTGACCACTTAGCGTTCCCTAGATTGCCAAGGTGTTGTCAAGTTAACAGAATAGATCTGCGTGCACCGTGCCTGCCCAACATAGGTAGAGAAGGTGGGTTTGCCTCTAGCGTCTTGGCCTTTTTGTGTCTCTGCAAATGTCTGGTTGTCACCATTCTTCCTTCTTCCCATCTCTTAAACATTCCTTCTTCGATCTCAATTACTCGAGTCGCAGTAGAAGCAACGGTCGGGTACACCCGATTACCATAATTCATGCCAAGGGCTTCTGATCTGTTCCGACGCATTTAACAATGGTTCTGATGATGATCCTTCCGAACGCAGAGGCAAACATATGGATAAGAGCTTTGGATATCACTGTATCCATCGATACAGGACGACACATGTAGAATGCGATGACTTCTTCGTCGAGACTGATGTAATGATCGTTCCTCTTCCTGCTGATTTCTGGTCGCTTTCTTCTACCGCGGCTTCTTCTCACACTTCCCTTTCATCATGTCTCATGCTACAGTTGCAGTATCCAGAGTAATATTTGGTCTACATTCGCAGATCTCAGCTCTACTTGGATGTGTAATGGATTATTTGGGCTTTCCATGAAGAAGTTCTCCTCGTCTACATTCTCTTGTACGATTGGCCTTAACAAGGTGTTCGATGAGAACTTGCGGTATATGCGCTTGCTCCGTAGCTACCCTTCGTTCTCACAGGTGCTACTGATCAATTTCAGGCTCGAGACAGATTTCTGGAAGCACCTGACATTCTCGACGCAATCTGATCCTGCCACACCCATGTCCAGTTGGCACAAGAACTTGTACACCCCTTGTCCCGGCTGCCTATAGTTTGTGTCCATGACGCTGATGTTCGAGCAGATTCGAAGGTACACTCAAACTCGAACACTTACCGATATTTTTGGTGGTTTTTTTTTGGTGTTCTCGCCTGGCCCACTAACGTATCTATTCTCTCGTTCACCGTGAAGCCGAATCCGTCGTCTCGGCTGTCCGTACCACCGCACTCTGCTCCTCACCACACGTCTCTTGTTTTGGTAAACACCACTCACGTTCACTTTCATCAACAAGGCTGCCTGAATCACTACATCGACGCGTCTCAGGCCCAAGCTTAAGCTAGATAATCTTCTCATAAAGAGGCTTGCCCTCACATCCACCTCTACCTCAACACCTACCTTTCCTTCAATCTCTCCTTTGATCAAGACTTTGTTTTGACAGCCGCACCCTCTCTTGATACTTCAAATTCCTTAAGAGCACTCCTTACATCATGTCTGATCCCCCCAAGTCTCTGTTCGGCGACGGCGGCAAGATCATTGTGCCCATGCCGAAGGGCAAAGCGAGTGTCGCGAGCGAGCCAGCTATCACCGGAGTCAACACCGAGAAGAGGTTTACCTTGAGTCAGCCAGATGACAAAGATGTCAAAGATGCCGCCGCGGCTACCAACACTGCCAAACTTGAGGGCAAGTTAGCTTCTATCGGTCTTCTGATCATACTAACGACCTCAGAACTTGTAGGACAGATCGTCCAGAACCTTGGAAGCCGCGGATATACCCTCCACAGTAAGGCTTGTATCACTCTAAACACTTTAACTCCGTCTAAAACGTACAGGCATTGGCCCCAATCCGTGCTACCAGCCTGCTAGCAAGGTCTTCCGATCCCACAGTGACAAGCCTCGCAACGCTACTAGCGTAAGTGTATTTCTATATTTCCTTTTCTGCTTTTTCTGCTTCTCTCTTGTGTCCTTCTTTCTTTCTCTTGCTTTCGGATCCGAGGTTGGTAAGTTTAATTCGACCATAGTGCTTCAAGTTTCTGCCCAACGAGGTTGTTGGCGAGATCGGCAGTGAACTAAACGTCCGCGATCTGAACAGCATGCGTCTAGCAAGCATGCGACTCAACTATGCGGTCAACTTCCAGTACGGTAAGAAGATCATGGTGACAGAAAACGTTACCATCTTTCCTACCTTCTCAAGCATTGCTTCATTCTTGGTTGGTCTTGGTTTGGATGACGCATATCCTGCTACGGTGCGCACCATCACTTTGGTCGGAGAAGCACCCAAGACACCAGAGTTGAGCTACGACATATCATGGATTAATCTGCTGCGCGCCCACCCGGATCCGAATCGCCAGATCGTACCTCTTACGCGCCTGAACCGCGCGACGCTGAACTCAAGCGAGTACATCGAGGCTCAGAAGGTCCGTGACACCGATCGACGCATCGTCTTGTCTGTCAACGACAAGCACGAAGAGTGGGACTACATCAACAAAGACTTCTGTCACACTGGCGGCTACCGTACGATGCTCAGTAAGTCTCATGGCAGTCAACACTTTGCAAAATACTTCTAGTACGTCTAAGATCAACAAGAACTGACTTTTGCTCAGGCGTTATGCTCTCCAAGCTCCCTAATCTGAAGACCATCACCACTCGCAAGCTCCACGTAGGTGAGCACATTCCTGGTTGGGAGGGACCCGAGGCCTTGAAGCACCTGTCCTACTATCGCCCTGATCTCCCCATCAACAAGGTCTACTATGGCGACTGGCAGTACGATACCGTCCACAAGCGCACCACCATGTACACCGATGAGTACGGCGAGTACATCGAGGAGGCTAACGCTGGTCCCCAAGCTGGTTTCAAGGAAGATGTCCTTGCCGCTATGGAGATGTCTGGTACCTCGGCTATGCTTGCATAGAAGAACTGGTTTGAGATGTTCGGACATCATGGTTTGACTTCTTGATTTACTGGTTTGAGATGGACTGATCTGAGAGTCATCGATTGACCGATACCGACTGGATTGAGAAGGAATGATCTGAGATCTACCGGTTGATATGCACTGGTCTGATGGAATCTGGTTTGAAATGATATGGAAATGACTGCTACATTCCACAAGATAGCTAGTCTCGACTGCAGAATATGACTGCATTTGCCTAAAACTTGAAATCTTATATGTGGTGACTGTCCTTCCTACATCATACCAAATCCTATCATCTATTACCCAAAGCAAAGGCTTCCCAGTTCCTTCCCAACTTCGTCACCCCCTCCTCCAAACCCCATCCTTTGATTCCACATATTCTACGTATGATATCCTCCAACCTTCTATCCATCTCCTCGCCCGCAGTGTGCAAATCGCTCTCCACGAGCAACATATCATCTGGAACAGTCTTTATGATATCTTGGAAAGCCTGTGGCGTATCTTCCTCGTCCATCGCATCAGACAGGTTAATCGCCGTGCTGAACGACGCGAAGATCTTGGCAGGGATCTCAGGACGAAGGTATTGCGCGAAGTTGGAGGGTGAACCGGAGTAAGAATGGAGGCATATACGTGGTGGATAGGATTTCGGACCGCTGTTTTCTTCGCCAGTGCCCTCATTCCGCGTCTCATCAGCAGACAACGCGGCTTCAGCAGCAGGGTGATCCTGACCCCTCTTCTTTCTCTCCCGTTTACTCAAAACTTGTTTCTCGCATCCCTTCCACGTTTCGCTCAGTACCTCTAGAACAAGACCATGCGCTTGTACACCATGTACACTAACTGCTCTGCCCATCTCCGCAGCAAGATCCAACTGGAGTTTAAAGATCTTCTTTTGGTGCGAAGGACTACATCGGAAGGGTGTTAGGCGCCGACCTTCGCGACCACCTGGCGTAAGGTTGTTGTTACGCTTCGACCATAGATCTGGATTGCCGGTCCAGGATTCAGGAATTCTGAAGGACCGATCGAGACCGATTTCACCTATTAGCGCAAATGGATATTGTTGCAGATGTTTTCTTGTAAGGTCCAGGAACGCGGAGAAGGAGGTTGGATCTGGTAATGAAGCGTATATCTGGAGATCTTCTTCGCTGGGGTCGGAGCGGAAGGGTTGGAGGACGGATTGATAGTGGGACATCTTTGCTTGACCGGTGAGAGGGCCTTGGTCTTGCAATTCGTTGTTCTCATTTGCTCCGGAATCTGAGTTGGGAGATATGTACATCTGGTATGAGAACCATGGGTGCCAGCCGAAACAAGGGACTATGCATTCTTCTTTTGTCCATTGAGACGGGTCCGAAGATCTGATGCTGTGCTTGTTCGCTGCCGATAAAACAAGGTCCTGATCTTCGGATCTGGTTGCCATTACGGTGAGGACGCGCGCTTTCATGTTTTGGATGGTTTCGATGCTGGACATGGTGTCTGTTGGATGGCAGTGTGCATCGTAGACTCCGAGGTGCCATGGAAAGGACTCATCGCTGCTCTTGTCCGACGCCATTGTGTTCCGTGAGAGGAAGCAAGATTTTTTTTTTAAACGTGGAATTACAGTCTCCAGGATTGCGAACAGGTCACCGAAACGTTCTGTTGTCCAAAGCAAATCTACACTATGACGTACGTGCAAGGCTGGTCGGCTGGACCCTGTCCAGGTATCATTGCCCCACGACATGAACCCCACCATGTACGCATCCCAAACTTCCGGCGGCTTTACATGGTCGTAACCACCGCTAGTATAATGTCTTACAGCGCTTGATATCCAGGTCTGTCAGTCTCCGAGTAGTCTTCAGCCTAGCTTTTTCCAGAACCTTGGATTCTACCAGCTCCTGTGCGATATGTGACATTCTACCATTTGCTTCTTACGGACACACACGCATTCCTACACGCGTAATACAAAAGGCCGCCCTTTCAGCTCCACCAGGCAGGCAAATAGAAGAAAGATATACCCCTTCTACGAAGCATGTCAGCTTGATAGTAAGCGCCACATTCCGCCCTGCTCCAACATACGGTACTTTTGCGCGAATCGCAATCTAGGGCTGTCGGGCGCCCCGTGCGGATAATAAACGATCTAGGATCAGGTGCCTGCATTGGCTTACATTCCACGGAAAGCCACGAGTCAAAGATCGCTGCTCGTGGTCTATTTGCAAGGCGCCCTTTCAAGGACCGAGGATGTACCTTCTCCGCATAAGCTAGCCCCTCACCAAGTAAGACCGTTTGCTAGAGAGCTACCTGGGTAAGATAAGTACATGTACCGCTACTCGAATTCATTCACTTTTTGCATTTCACTGATTCTCCTGTCACCACCTGTGTCGAGTGTTTTCCCAATATAAAATACTCGGGTCCCCCACTTACACCAGAAACTGATAAAGAAAAACTTCAACCACCTTCACACTAAGCATCTATAGCTACCCCACCACTTCGACCAATATGCCCGGTCGCCTCCAAAACAAGATTGCCGTTATAACGGGTGCTTCATCCGGTATAGGCCGCGCAACAGCCCTAGCTTTCGCTTCAGAAGGCGCCTCACTAGTCTGCTCCGACCTCCACGAAACCGCCCGTCAAGAGTATGCTACAGACACTTCCCCTTTAACCACCATCCAAGCCGTTCAGAACCTTGGTGCCAAAGCCATCTTTGTCAAATGCAACACCACCTCCTCCACCGAAGTCGAAGCCCTGATCCAAGCTACAGTGAAAGAGTACGGTAGGATCGACATCATGGTAAACAATGCGGGTATTGCTATGGAAGCGGGTGAGCACGGGAGCAGACCCATTTGGGACTACGAGGGAAATGCTTTTGACAAGACGGTTGATGTGAATGTTAAAGGTGTCTTTTGGGGGACCAAGTATGCGAGCAAGCAGATGGTGGGGCAGGAACCAGGGGCTGGGGGTGATAGAGGGTGGATTATCAATCTGAGTAGTGTTTTTGGGATGAGGGGTTCAATAGGTATCTGTAAGTTGCGTTGTTTTTCTTCCCTTGCATGTTTGTTTTTAAGTTTTATGTGGTGGGGGAGTGGTGGGTCCTGGGATGAGGCGTTGCATCACCGACAAGAGAAGGAGGGTCACTAACGTTAATGGCAGCTGGTTACGTGACATCTAAACACGCTGTCCTCGGTCTGACAAAAGCCGCCGCACAAGACTGTGCGCCATACCGCGTCCATGTCAACGCTCTTTGCCCCGGGTTTACAGCTACAGCCTTCATCTCGGGGTTGCTCACGCCTGAAGCAGCAGAGCAGAAGAAGATTGTAGAACAACGACATCCGTTTGGAGGATTAGGCACGCCCCAAGATATTGCCAAAGCGGCGGTGTTTCTGGCTAGTGATGATGCCGCGTGGGTCACTGGTATAGGACTGCCGGTCGATGGTGGGTTTAGTTCTATGTGAGGGGCTTGGAACTGGGGAGCGTTCGGAGGACTGGCTGCTGGGATATGAGACGGGAATTCCAGTGCATTGTGTTCAGAATAATACTTAGCCAAAGCTGACAGTAAGGATATACAAAACATCTTACATTGAGAAGCTATGAAGAAACTCACAGTATATATCTCCGGAATACAATTTGATAGTAACGAGCTTCTTGGTGGTTAGGAGTGTTTGACCTGTTTCATTGTTTCAGGGGGTTTATACTAATCTCTCTCTGTACTATGCTATGTCTCTAGGCCGCCCAGTATCCCAAAAAAGCACCCTATATACACCTACTCAATCTGGCCAATGGAGAAACCTTAACGTAGGAGAGAAAATCGCCAATGCGGGAAATGCAGGACTAGGAAACCCAAACACCATAGCTATGCTAGCTTTCAAGAGTAAAAAGACCTAATAGAAGGAGTACGAGAACGGAGTCGACTAGGAAAACGGAGAGAGTGCGAACGTATAGGGTATCGCCGCCGGGGAGACAAGGCCGACATACGCAAGAGGTCGTCGTGCTCTTTGGTACTAAGGCAAATGCGGATCAGTCAAGCTGGATGGTTGGAATGTAGTGCGAGGATACGGATGGCATGATACAAGGGCCGAGGGAATGTAGGAGAATGTATGGAGGTGTGTGAGGTACTACCTCGCTACACGGTGTATCAACCTGTGGATGTCAGTGGGTAATGATGACATGGGAGGCTGTAGGAGCTCACCTCAGAGTACTGATAGCAAAAGTAGCAATCCAGGCAAGCAGGGCAATCAGCAGAGTCGCTGTCAAGCCCTTCTGTCTCTCACAAATGCTCTGTCTGTATGGACAGGCATTTGTCCTGTCTGATTCAACGCATGCCCACTTGTCGTCTGTCAGGGCCTGGAAAGCCAGACTAAGGTTGGCAGACTCGAAGACGATGAAGGCTAGGTCTAGGAAGATGAGTGACATTTTGGCGTTGTGCGACCGCAGACCGAGAGGCTTTGACGTGTATTCGTCATAAGTGATGTAGATGGTGTATAGGACGGCCACAATGTCAACGAGTATAGCCATCCAGGTCGACGAATTATTGTTGCAGCCGTTGTTATCGGAGTGGCGGTAGATGGAGCACGCGAGGGAGAGGGCAAGGATGGAGAAGACGAGGATCAAGCAGCGGGAGAGGGCGGGGACCATGGGGTGGTTCATGACGGTGTTGTGGAAGCGCATCAGGCGGCGCTTTCTCTTCTCCGAGGTGAAGAGCCAGAAGCCCTTGATGTGCTCGTCGCCATGGTCCTTGTCAATGGGCTCCCACTTCTGCTCGAGGTCGGGCATGTTCTCCTTGAGCCAGTCATCGTCTACAATCTGGCCGCGCGAGGATATGGGGCGGTCGAGGTTGGACGCCTGGGTGAATTGCTTCCACTTGGGGGCGCTGTCGCTGACGGGCGTCGACAGGGTCACGGGCGCACCCTCGCGAGCGTGGTCGAACTTGCGACCCGGGACACTAGACTTTGGGGTCGGGCAGAAGTTGTGGTTGGCATGGCGGACACTGGTGGGTGTTCGTGGTAGGAGGAAGCTGGTAGCATCGACATTGT